GTGTGTGTGTGTGTGTGTGTGTGTGTGTGTGTGTGTGTGTGTGTGTGGTCAAGGCATTAATTATGCAGGGTTGACGGTGCAGATTTTACCCTTCAAGCAATTCTCAGTGTCAGTCTGTCATTTTGATGTCTACGTACTGCTACATTCCATACTACTGATTAATCCGGGTCAAGAAACAAATTCTTTGATCGTGTAAATGGTGCAAGTGTTTCACACGGACCACATCCTCCGTGATCAAAAGGAGCGGGAAGCTCATTGGCATTGTTCATGTATTCCACGCAGGCTCCATCACCGCCTTCGCCCTCAGCTAATGAGCCAAAGTATGAGAAGCGCTGGCTGGATGCCGTCTCCCTGCCCTTATTGATGGCCAGAGTCTCCAGATACAAAGCTGGCACAGATCAATTAAGGTAAGGGTAATCCAGCATGATATAATTCACCTCCAAGGTACACAGTTCACTGAGCACAGTTGTTGGCTTAGCAAGCACTTTTCATTTAAGCGAGGGGACGTTAATGCCAATATCTATGCGCAGGCATAAACAGCTTAAAAGGTCACCGCAGCTGTGAGGCTCGGGCTCAGAAGGTGTGACTGTGAGAACACTGGGTGAGCTTGTTAATGCATTTGATTATTATGCCTGTCCTTTTTTGTATCGATTTCCATCATATGTTTTATTTCTAAGGTGAGGGACACAGAAGAGGTGGATTTGTTTTACAGAAATTACAGATGGTGCTGCTAACATTTGGCAACCTTTACTTTCAGATATCGTGTAGCATGCATACAAGGCTGAATCACATTCAGTTATTTTAACTCACGCCTACATGTTTGTATGTGTGTGTGGTAAACTCATGACAGACACTAATTACAAAATTGGTATTATGAAAGTCTGACAAGTTTTTTTTATATTTGGATAACATTGTTGGTCTAAATCCAACCTGTTTGGTTTTAATAATACACTCATATTCAAAGTTAAATAGTGGTGCCATTTGTTTATGGACTGAGTAACAATGCATGGTTGTATGCAAATATTGAGCCGAATGAAATATATGATTTAATCTTTACCAATTGTCTTTTATTCAAATTAAAAAGTATTCACCTTCGTCAGTTGTCCTTATCATTTCCTGCACTCTTGCTGAGTAGAAGTCTCCTGCTCTTTCGGGTGTGTCTGGTTGCACAATTCAGGTACATAATGATAAATAAACAATGGAAGTCTGCGCTGGAGAGTTAATTAGAAATGTTTATTAAACTTGTTTATTGGACACCTCATTGGGTATTATCCAATTTAAAGCCACAGGCAGCTGCCCATGATAAGGTAAAACGCCATACTCTGTACCAGCATTTCTCAACCTTTTTTTTTTTTTTCTTTTGAGTCGCGGCACCCTTTAGAAATATGCAAACATGTCAAGTCACCCCTGTTTATAATGTAACACTTAACATCCTTCCGATGGCCAACACCCGCACACAAGTGGTTGTTATGAGAGAAAGAGACAGAGGTACAGAATGCATAAATGTGCTTACTATTAATGGGAAGCCTGAGGATGCACACAACCGCCCTATTCATGCAGGGATGGATGAGAAGCTGTCGCTGAGCTCCAGGTCCGCACATATAAGTCGGGGACCAGGGCAGCAGAACTGCAATGGCGCTACTTAAAATTATTGGGTACTCCTTCTCCAGGGATATTTAAACCTGCTCCAAAGCTGTGTATTCAAATTTAATTTTTAATGTGCAATCTTTCTCGGTGTCTGCCAGTTGCTCCTGCATCAGCAGTAGCAAGTCTTTTGCACTTTCCAGTGCACATGAACTCCAAGGGTCATGGACCCAGTCAAACTGATCAAAAGAGAAAAATAATGGCTAAATATCTCCTAGAGATTTTTCATATACTGATATAGAGTCTGTACTGTAGGAAAATGTCCTACAGGTGTAAGGTTGTAGTCTGCTCCAGCCAGCACAACCACTCCAGGTCAACTCTGTTTTTCATATCTGTCCGCTTTAAGGCAACTGGCATTTGAACCTGTGGTTACACTTGTACTAAAATCCATACGGTACAAAAGAATAGAGGTGGAGGATGCCAAACGCATGTTGGATCATTGATAATGATAGTAATTATGTCGGTAGCTATAATGGCACTCATAATAACAGTCATTATGAATAGGCCGACAAACATCTAAAGGAACCATAAGTGCACATTGAAAAATGTATTTTGATTGATTGATGTACTGTTGAGTCAGTGAGCAGCGTACACCAAAAGAAAAGTATTAAAACCAATATATTCTCTGTTTGTTTTCTGTCCTAAATAGCAACACTGGTTCTCTCCTTTTGATACAGTTATTGAGTCATTAACATAATAACGCTGTTACTGCGGACTGCTAAGGTCGGTCTGAGTGAGAGCTTTTTGCTGACTCTGACAACAGGCCAGGAAACTATACAGTCTATACAGTGTGAGGGGAGCGAGCTGTCAAATTAGCCCCAAGTTAGCCTGAGCAAGAGCACTCTGCTAGCTGCTAAAAACAGTTACACTATAGGAAACTGTGTATATAGTAACGGACTCGGCAAACTCTACCACAGCAGGTAACCTGCATAAGCAAGAAGAGGGAAAAGGAAGGACCCCGCGAAGGACGGAAGACATACAGTGATAAAGCACTGCTTCTGGCGGTCAGTAAGGATGAAATAGAACAGCAGCTGTTTATCTGTAGCACAGCCCACATGACTGAGGACTGCTCACATACCTCGGACTTCCTCTTAGCCTCCAGGCTTTATTTTGGATAAAGCAACAATCCTGTAATACTAATTCTGCCAGATGTCAAGTCCGATCAACAGTTTAATGACTGCTTTGCCGCAGAGTAAAAAATATTGAAGGAGTGTATTGAAGGAGCTTAGTCGCACTAAACCCTGACAACCTAGTGCTGAATGTGGAATAGCATGGAGTTCAGTCAATAAGGAGCCCTGGAGGCAGCGAGCACGTCAATATCAAGAGTTTGCTCTGCAAAACATGGCCGACATGGATATATCAGGATGCACAAATACAGATCAGATCGGGGTGGATCTTAACGGGGATCAACAGCTGAGATGATCTCAGAGGAACCTGGTGAGACCTATTGTTTGGTAGTATAATTTATGCTAATCCTTCCTGTTCTTAATATAGTGCCGTCATGATCCGACGATTAAAATGTGTCATTTTATGAGTGACGTATACAAAAAAATGTGTAGTAAAAAACAGTTTGAACTTGATTAGAACACGGCTACAGACTACAACTGAACGTTGCTGTGGCTTTATACCTTGAACATTGATGATGCTGTTGCCTTTCACATTTGCCAGAACACAAGGGAATGCTATCTCTTGTTTACATGAATGATGAGAGATAGCGATTGTGAGATTAGGGGAGAGGGAGCCGGCCAACGAAGAACCTCCGCTGTACAAACATTGGATCTTTTGACATTTTCCCGGTTAGCAGACTAGCAAAGGAACCTCAATTATTTCTTTCTTACTTACTTTCTATTTTATTTGTTTATTTTAAATTAATTCTGAGAATCTTATATATTGGACCTATTACATTTAATTAGCTTTTTTTTTCTCTGACTGGTTTATAAATAAGTAAAAATAAACATTCTCAAACTCAAATCTATTGACCACACCTTAATTTCAAGAAGACACGTGTGCCTACTCATTTTTCATGTTCGTGGTTTTGTTACAGTTTGAGCTATGGAAGAAGCATAGAAACACATATTTGTTGTGATGTGTTGTCTCACATTAGGTAGAGCAGGTTTGGTCTATTGTTTTTATTTACGTGTTCTTTCCCTATGAAGGTCTGCTAGCACCAGACTGTAATATTGTTAATTTAGAGGCAAAATCGATTCATCCCAGGGACAAAATGAACCTGCGTGATTCTTATGCGCCACGTTTAACTTTGGTCACAAGCAAATTAGCACCTTTGACCAATAGCAAGCTGTTTTGACAGTGCTAACCTTTTGAGGGGGAGGAGAAAGCTCCCAGTAAGAGCGCCAAACTTTGTAGCTATAACTTCACATAGTGGCCCGACGTTTATAGGAATGAACGGATCTCTGCCTCAGACGCTGTATCCAGTTCTCTTTATACATCCATGGGGCGTAGAGTCCAAAACGCAGGAAGCTAGCGTAGCTTGTTAGCTGTGGTGCACCAGAAAGCAACAGAGCATCTGTTTGCAGACAGTTATGAGACAGGAGTCAATGGTGCAAATGTGTCTTTTGAATACACTGTATATTTGCCCTGTTAGCAACCAAACTAAGCCAACAAGTTTGCTAATTGGCCGTTAGCTTTCTGAGCTAAGAAGCTTGCTATGTTTTCCCTCCTCAATAACTTTTTACTGAACAAAATATCAGGGTCAGTCACCAGAACAGAGAGAGGCTAATGCTAACCAGGCAAGTTAGCTCTCCAGCTACAGCAGTTAGCCAACTAGCCCTGCTAGTCACTGTGTCACAAAGCCTCTTGGACCTACTTTTTAAATGCATATCTAAATGTAATATATAATTTAGTCTGTGCTTTTCCACTCCATGTTATTAAGCCTTTCACGTTTCAGCTGCGTGTAAATATGCTTAAAGTTTTCCTTAAAGTAGCCACCCTCATTGCAGGCCTTGTTTCCTTCCTTTGCACCGACTCTCCAGGTTTCCACTGAGTTGTCAGACCAGGCACTGACAGTACTCTCAGCTTTTTGTTTGAGCAGTCCATACTGACAAAGGGTAAAAGGTATAGAAACTTGCAAATGAATCCATCCTTTTGCATATATTAGCCATCAGTTATATTGGAATTAATGAAAAGAATATGATGTTAGACTTTTATGATCCAGTCCTGTCTTTATTTCAGCTGTGTTACTAGTTTGATCAGTGTCGTTGATTCAAAAGCAAACATGTTTCTATCATTAATTATGGTAAAAACAAATTGCCCCAAAGCTTTTCCATTTCCCCCAATATTTTTCATGCATGTTGTCCAGGTGATACGACGCTGGTCCATCTCAATGGGGTTATTACTGCCGAGTCAGCAGGTGAGGCACAATAGTTTGTGCCGTTGGGAGCGGGGCAAATGTGAGAGACTCTCACTCCCCCTAGATCAAATCTCTCAGTGAGGATTTCAGTTCTGCTCGCTGAAGGTGACATGATTGTGTTCTCATGGCATTGATCCGCCAGCTGTCTGTCACTTTGATTAATCTCTGCCTTTGGAGCTCTTCATTCACTGCACTCTCATCCCTTCTTGCATTCCACCCTCATCCCCATTACTGCATGCCCTCAAAGGGTTTGCATTAATTGAAAGGGATCTAACTGATATACTGTAGATACTGTCTAATGTCATTTCATCAGTTGCTCACTGTATCTCTGCAGTTCTCAATAAAAGAGAAGAGGAGAGATGCCTTGCAAGACAAATCATCGACAAAAGAATTTCCGAACATCTAGTAGTGATGGTTTACAGCTGTGCGAATCACAGCATAAAGCTAATTTGGGTCAGGCACACTGACACAGAAAGAATTTGCCCCATTATTTAATAAAAAAAAAAAAAATGAAAATCACCCCTGGAGAGCCGCTGGGTCAGTACACAGCCAGCAGAACATACGATTTTAACAAGCCGATTGTAGATGCAGTGTGAAAGTCATGCTCACCAGAGGATTGGTTGGGAATGCTGACTTTGTAACATCCAACCTTGAGGTGTGTGTTTGTGTGTGTGAGAGAGAGAGAGAGAACTGTTTGGTTAAGGAGCTGTCTTAGACAATTTCCCCCCTTATACGGTGCTTTCGGTTCCTTCTATTGTTTGTTTTTCAGCCTTCACCTCACGTACCTCCACAACATCTCCCCGCTTCTCATGTGCACTACCCAATGGTCAACATTTCTTCGAGCCTTTACGCATTCCCCCTAAAGTCAAAGTCTCTACTCCGTCAAATGGGATCGCTTAACACGGTAGCACTTTTTATGCGATGGTTAAGCGATCCCATTCGACGGAGTTGAGAATTTGCAATGCAGGGGTCTTTTTTTGGGGGGATTAGGGACATTAAATCTTAAAAAACAGTTGTAACCTTTTCACAGAAAGGTTATCGGATCATTCTCAGGATTTTAAGGACTCAAGTGCCTCTCCAGAGGATCGGTTGTGAAGACGTTTTTATAACTATAAGTTGTCAAAAGCCCATCAAGCTCATGTAAGAAGTGTTACTGCGCGTAATGCAGCTCAAGTCTTACCGCCTAAAGTAACGACAGAAGTAACGAGCAGCTCAAGCTTCAATTAGCGCAATGTGTCTTTCAATCTTCACCGCGCCCGTCTAATCTTGACCTCTTCTCTCCTCCAGGTCCAACTGTTTTGAAGTCTGCGCCTTGGATGGAGCCAGCGCCAATATTCTTCAATTTTGCACCGCTGCAGAAAGCACCGACTGGCTCCAAGCAATATCTACAAATGTCAATGAGTTGACACAGGAGAACGTAAGTCCATATCTAAACATTAGAGACTTGCCTCGACCTTCCCGCAGGTCTTTATTGAAATTGAAGGTGAAAAGGAAGAACCAAAAAAATACTGTGATTTTCACATATTTGTAATCATTATAAAGATGTGAGAAGTCTCATGACATCCAGTAACTTAACAAGTGTAATTACTGTCATAAAATTGTGTAATGTATTTTTTTTGATGTTTTCTTAAAGAAGCTGATATAATATATCATTTGATTGAATTTGTGTGGTCGTTTTTAGGTAATCACAATGGCCAGATTATTAGTTTATGTAATTAAAAAATATTCAGATTGTGAGTTTTTGTCTATTATCCACTTGTGTGTTTTGTTTCAGTCCATAACACCATCTTAATAAAGCAAACGTAGACGCATGTAACAGATATGTTTTGCCCACAGTTGCTACATGTATTTACCCCTTTTTGATTTCTCACAGCCACAGAACCGACAGCAGCACTAGCATGGTTTTGATAGACCCTTCCCGACGAGCACTCATTGAGTCACAGTGGCACCTAACCCTGCTGACACAAAAAGATCTTCTCTCATACCTAATTAACGACTGCAAAGTAGTCATTCGGCATGTGCACTGCTCTCTCTCTCATTTCCTCCTAGTTCACTTTGATTATCACACTGATGATGTGACGCATTTTTGTCGAGGATGCAGACGTACTGTATGCCGTCGATCGCACAGCTGCCTTTAAAAAAAATAAATAAGTTTGATTAATTCATGCCTGCAACACCTAATTGCGGACGTGGAGGGTGATTGCTAAATGGCCAATCATGATGTAATTGTGTGCCTGCTTTGGGAGAGAGCAGAACTTTTGTTTTAATGACCTACAACCTTTAAATAGACTCCGAGACACCCGTGGGGTCCCTCGTGTGTTTGAGGATGACTGTCATCTGGCAGGGTGGAGGACTGCTCGATGCCGTTTGATGTTCTTTCAGAAAGACTAAAGCAGAAAGAACCGGGGAGCTTGTTGGTGCCTGATTATATTAGGACTTCAAGTGACAATTTACCTTCACTTTGCAACAGAGGTGAGGCTAGACAGGAGCCGCCCCCATGCTGAGTGCGATATGCTGACACAGCAGGGGTCCTTTCAGTCTGGAAATGTTTTGCAGTGGTTTGCAACACTTTTTTATCACCGTCACCTTCAAGATACACTTTGGAAGCGGTAAACAATCTTTCTGAGACTCTAACTTTATACTTGCTTGGCGCCTCGGGGTGGTTTTCGCATTACATTTTTTACACGTGGCATCCTCTTTCTAGTTGACTGTGAACCTTCAAATGAAGAAAAAAGAGCTTCTATTCATAAACATTTATGCATACTATTTATGCACTGTCTATGTGTTTAGCCCTGTGTTTACCACTTATTGTGAGATAATTAGTGAGAAATCTACAGATAGTACTGTGTGAATAGAGTTAGCAAAACACGCTTTACTAGGTAATTCTATGCAACTTATCTCAAAATGTTATTAGGTCACATACATGTTCAAACTTGAGATTGAACGAATTATAACATTTTATAGAGTTAATATTTGCCATTATCTTGAGCTCTCAAGTACATGAACGAAACTGGGGAAAATAATTCTAGTTAAAAAATCATGCAAGTTGCCTCAAATGGTGAGCATATATAGAATATACATACATGACATACAGACTGTTGCAAATTGTTATATCTGTTATGTTGCTTTAGATCTGCAGGTTTTGTCAAAGAGTAGCAACAATGTGCAAATAGGGTGTGATGATGTGTGTTTGTGTGTTATCTCAACAATTCCATTCCCATGTGTTTTAGGTGGTCAGGATCCCTTTTATATAATAATATATAAAATAGCTTTTTATAATCACTGTTTTCATTTCTCTCATAGATAAAGATCGTCAACAAATACTGCTCTTCAGATGATCAGGTAAGCTGACAGCGGCCTAACTGATCTTTTTGAAACCTGATACATAATTGCAGCACAACAGG